AGATTTTGTCTACATTTCTGATGAAAAATTATCAAAACTCTTAATTTCGATAAAGTCAAAGTGCTTTGTTTTGACATTATCAGTTCAACTTTTATATTAGATAATATACATTTATATTATTACTTATAGTTCATATTATATACAGTTGAAACAATAAAGCATTTCAACCATATTAAAATGGAAAATGTTCATGCATTCTAAGGCCAGAAGGGACCACAGTCATCATCTAGTTTGACTTCCATAGAACATCCCCAAAGTAATTCCTAGATCAGATCTTTTAGAAAAACATTCAGTCCTGATTTTAAAATTGTCAGGGATGGAGAATCCACCATAAGCCTTGGTAAATTGTTCCAATGGTTAATTACTCTCACTGTTAAAAATGTACATTTTATTTCAAATCTGAATCTGTCTAGCTTCAACTTTCAGCCATTGGATTGTGTTATATCTTTCTCTGCTAGTCTGAGGAGCTCACTGTTATACATTTATTCCCTGTGTAGGTACTTATAGAATGTAATCAAGTAATCTCTTAACCTTCTCTTTGTTAAACTAAGTAGATTGAGCTCCTTGGGTCTATCACTACGTTTTCTAATCCTTTAACCCTTTTTGTGACTCTTCTCAACATCCTCCTTTGTGACTCTTATCAACATCCTTCTTGAATTGTGGGCTCCAGAACTAGACACACAGTATTCCAGTTATTCTTATCATTACATCATTTTGATATTTCATAAAAGAATGTTTTCAGAATTATCCTTTCACAGGAAATTTCAAAATTTTAATTTTTGTTCTGATTTGGGATGAAAGGAAATTTCCCATGGAATTGAAATAGAGATTCAATCAGTTCTAATTATCAAATATACGGTACCATAGATCTTACTTTTAAATTTTATCTAGCTTCAGTTGAATTATACTCTCTTTAGTATTGTAGCAGTTATGTTGTACAGCAATCTGAATTTTTTAAGTGATGCCAATTTGAATTTATTTTAATAGCAAATTTTCTCTCCTACTTTTCAGGGATACGTAGAATTTGTTAAAAAATATTACCATGCAGAGCCACAAGCGGTTAACTTTGGAAACGCTGCAGAACAAGCCAGAAAACAAATCAATTCCTGGGTTGAAAGCCAAACTGAGGGTAAGCTAAGGATAAACCACAGCTTTGCTCTTCTCCCACTATAGTTGCTGATTCCTTTTGGGTAGGTGGCTGCATTTCTACATGTGTTCCTCCTGTAGTCAGGCACTAGTGGAGCTAATGTGGAAACTGAAGAGAGAGAGGTGGACAAATGAACAGTTGAACAGCTTCTAGTGCCTAATCCAGAATTTTTTGAATTCAATGGAAAGACTCCCATTGGCTTCAATGAGTTTTGGATAAAATCAAGAAAGAACGAAAAAACGAAAGAAAGGGAGCAGCCTGTAGAACCTGATTTTCTCTAAAAAAATCAATAGCTCCCGCAGGGCCTCTGGTCTCATGGGCCACCATCACTACTGGAACTACAGGAGCAGGATTTATGATCATGGACTCCCTATTCCGTGAGCCTGATTCTTCACAGCCTAGCCCCTTCTTTTATTTACTCCTGTGCAAAAGGAGGATGCAATGGGTATAAAATGCTACCATTCTGATTTGGCAGAGTTTTACACCCACTATCAACGAGTATAAATGACTTCACAAGGGGAAAAGTAGTGGAGATTCAGGCTTTATATTTTTAAGATGCTGCATTATTTTAATTTCTTTCCAACATGTCACCTTGTGCCACAATAACAAAGATTGGTTTTAGAAATGGGTTTAAAGGCCAAATTAATTAAGTTTGAAAACTCACTCAGGGATCAGAGATTCTGAGGCACATACATTCTCAATGGATAACTAAAGAGAAAGCAAGATTAGAAATAGCCACTTGCTGTACTACACTGGAATAAAAACACCACTCTTCTCCTTCTGAAAGAGAAAATCCATAATCTGTTGCCCAGAGATGCTGTTGATGGAAATACCATACTGATCCTGGTTAATGCCATTTACTTCAAAGGAAAGTGGGAAAAGAGATTTCTGAATGAAAACACATCTGAGAATCCTTTCAGATTGAGCAAGGTATGTCCCACCAATGCTAATGTTGTTGAGCAGTAAGAAACCTCCATATAGCATGAAAATCTTTCACCCACAGTTCATCTTCCATTGTAAAACTATTGTTAGCTCAAAGCATGGCCTAAAATAAATAGCTGTGACAATTTTAATATTTAGTTAGTACATCTACTGCATTGTTTAAGAAAAGGTTTGAAAAATGGCGTTTAGCTTCAAGAGGAGACTGTTGTTTGTTCATATAATGTTATATGAACCTAGGGCCCATATAACATAGAAACATTAGTGAATATCCTGACTGCACGTTAATGTGACAGCTGTGCAGCTCTATAGACTATGGTAACCTTTTCAAAAGCACCTACAGGACTTAGGAGCCTAAATCTCATTTTCAAAAGTGACTTAGGAGCCTAACACTCATTTAAAGTCAGTGGGACTTAGATTAAGGCTAGAAAGCACCGTTGTGATAGTCTAATCTGACTCTTGCCTAACACAGGCCACAGGACTTCTCTGTACTAAATTCCTGCTGCAAGTCCAATAACTGTACTTGAACTACTGCATATCTTTTAGAAAAATAGCCAATCTTGATTTTTTAAATTTCCAGTGATGGAGAATCCAACACAACCCTGGCAAGTTGTTCCTATGGTTAACTACTCCCACTGTTAAATATTTGTGCCTTTATTTCTAGTCTGAATTTGTCTAGCTTCAACTTCCAGCCATTGGTTCTTGTTATACCTTTATTTGCTAGGTTGAAGAGCCCTATATTATCAGTTTCTGTTCCCCATGTAGGTACCTATAATCTATGATCAAGTCACCCCTTAAAGTTCTCTATGATAAGTAAATAGACTGAACTCCTAAGGTCTTTCACTATGAGACATGGTTTCCAATCTTTTAATGATTCTTGTGACTCTTTTCTGAACCCTCTCTAATTTGTCAACATCTTCTTGAAGTGTGGACACCAGGACTACACACAGAATTCCAGTAGTGGGTTGCAGCAGCACCAAATAAAGAGATAATATAACCTCTATATTCCTACTTAATAGTCTTCTGTTGATACATCCAAGTATCACTGGAGCCCTTTTGGCCACAGCATCACACTGGGAGCTCATGATCCACTTTGATCCCTAAATTCTTTTTCACCATAAGGCCCCATCCTGCAAGTATGGCCTACATTCTTTGTTCTCAGATGTATGACTTTGCATTGGCCTGATTGAAATGCATATTGTTTGTCTGTGCCCAGTTTCCAAGCAATCCAGATAGGTCTGTATCAATGACCTGTCCTCTCTGTTATATACCATTCCCCCAATCTTTGTGTCATCTGCTAACTTCATCAGAAATTATTTATGTTTTTTTCCAGTCATTGATATAAATGTTTAATACCACAGAGCCAAGAACCAATCCCTGTGGGACCCCACTAGAAACACAACTGCTCATTGATGATTCAGTTTATACTTCCATTTTGAGACCTATCATTTAAAGAGTTTTAATCCATTTAATGAGGGCCATGTTGATTTTATATTGTTCTAGTTTATTAATCAAGGTGTCATGCAGTATTACTTAAACGTGTACAGAAATCTATTGTATCAACTCCATTATTTTATCCACCACACTTGTAATCTCATCAAAAAAAGATAGTAAGTTAGTTTGACAGGATCTATTTCCCACAAACCCATGTTGATTGGCATTAGTTGTATTTCCCTCCTTTGCTTCTTTCTTAATCAAGTCCAATATCAGCCCTTCCATTACTTTGCCCAGTATTGAGGTCAAGCTGACAAGCCTATAGTTACCCAGGGTCATCCTATTTACTCTTTTTTAATATCAGCACAACATTTGCTTTCTTCCAGTCCTCTGGAACTTCCCCTGTGTTCCAAAATTTATTAAAAATCAACATTAATGGTCCACAATCTTCCCAGACAGCTCTTTTAAAACTTTTGGGTTCTATGGACCCCCTGATTTATAAATGTCTAGCTTTAGTGGCTGCTGTTTAACATTGTCCTTAGTTACTGTTGGAGTAGAAAGTATTTCATCATCATTTGATATGAATATATCATGTTTTTTTCCCAAATACAAAACAGAAGTATTTAACACTTCTGTCTGTTCCGCATTACTACTGACAATTCTACCATGTCCATATAGTAAAGGGCATATACCATTGCAAGAATTCCTTTTTTTCTTAATATACTTAAACTCCTTTTTTATTGTCTTTAACTCTGACGGTCATAGTTTTCTTTGTGCCCTTTGCCTTCCTTTATCAATTTTCTACACTCTATAGCTTCTAATATATATTCATTGTCCCAACTTTCTCTTCATTTGTTTTATATATTTATATATACATATATATAGGTGCTTTCACTTTTATACTAAGTCAAACTGGTTTTCTAACAAACGCACCCATATTATTTGACTGTAGGGTTGTGACTTTTCAGTATATAGAAAAATGTTCTCAAACAGTTCCCTAAGTCACTTCTGAAAATGAGATTCAGGCTTCTAAGTAAGTTAGGCATTGAAATGCTGAATGGAGCAACACTTAAATACTTTAAAAACTGGTCCTCAAATACTATAGTGATGGGTGAAGTCTATAGATCTGGATATATCAATGATACAGTTTTAAACAAATGTGGGCTTAATTTCAACCATCATGGAGGGATTTAAAAGTTTGTGTGGGAACCAAGCAAAATGTCAGGAAAAACCTGACAGTCCTGTCTGGCTTTCACAGTAAGATTCTGGGTTCCTTCACACCTAAAACTCAAACTGGAACTCAGGAGTTGCAAACACATAGGAAGTGAAATTGTAAAGGACTTCATGAAACTCCTGCAAACCAAAATTACTGACTTTCTCATGCAGCTAACTATAGCACACACACACACACCTTTTGCACAGCACTGCTCCATAACTGAAACTAAGTGATCTTCCTGCATCCATGAAACTTTACAAACACTGAGTTTTTGTATTTATTATCCATGGGGCATCATCAATATCTGTAGAATCCACTTTACAACTGCTACTACTACGCCACCAGAGAGTCAGCCAAAGGCAATGTTTTCTGTTCTGCCGGGGTGGAGAAGAGACCAAAGTAGCCCCTGAACGCAGTGACCTTTCTCCTTGTACTTAGAAGTTCCCCAGAATTTTCAGTGTTGGGAGCTGTGAGCCTCCCCCTGCTCTGTCTCCTCAAAAGTCTTCCCTGTAATAGGAACACTTGTCAGGAAACTCATTGAGGTGATCCTTGCAGAATTTTCCGGTTCCTTTGTCCCATCTTCTGTGAGTTATTACGCATGTACTGGGGAAGAGTGGAAGATGAGTCCAGGTCACAGAAAACAGTGCTTTGAGAGAAACAACAGGACAATTAATATTTTCTCATGAAAGGAACCCTGTTAAACCATGCAATCAACTTTGGTTCATAAAACTGTATTCAAAATTTTATTCTTATTTCATCTGAAGCAAGTCATAAAAATTTACTGCTAACCTGTATGTTTCAAAGAAAGAAGAAGTAATATTTATTTTCTTATGGAGATATACAATTTCACAGACCAAGACTAAACCAGTGCAGATGATGTTTCTGAAAGATACATTTCCAATATGCTACTTGGAAACAATGAAGGTCAAAATTGCTGAACTTCCATATGTCAATAATGACCTCAGCATGCTCATCCTATTACCAGATGATATTGAGGATAAATCTACTGGTCTGGAACAGGTAAAACCATTATATCATATTTCTGGTCGACGAAAGTGGAATTCAATCTTTCTTCAGTGTGAGACAGCTACGGGATAATGCTCAGCATAAGTTTAGCAACATCCTATACATTAATGCATACGGCTATAGACAAATGTATGGCATACAAGTGCCTTTTTGTGAGCAGGATAAGAACTGGGATGTGAAACTGAGCAGTTCTGATGACGATACCATCTAAGGTACAACGTTAAGAAGTATCATTGACATAATGTATTATTATCTAGATGAAGCCCAAAAGAGTGCAAGGAATTTTCCAGAACAAACAGACCAGGTCTGTGTCCTAGAATAGCTTACAGCCTAGTTTCAGATGTGATGCAATGAGAGAATAACAAATCATAAGGAAGTAGGGTGAGGAAGGAGAAAGCTTGTAGCAGGGGGATAATTGGTTTCGTTATGTGCATGTTTTGTGGATTCCATAAAGTTATATGTGTATTTAGGGAATACATGATTCTCTAGTGTGATATGCAGGATTTTCAGAATTCTGTTGAGATACCTGCATTACTCTTGAGTGGGAAGTGTAGTACTTGTTATACATTATGTGGTGATTCCCCTAAACAAGAATTCCATACTGGTTATTGAAGCCAGTTCTTTTGTCCAGTTTCTGTTGCCTGGGTAGCACAAAGTAGACCTCAATCTGACTCTCTGGCCCCTTGCAGTTAATATTCTTCCAAGAGCTGTACTCCCTTTCTCTGTTTTCTGTGCTCTCTTTTTCTAGTGAAATAATTAATTAGTAACCCACCTCACAAGGGACTAAGCTCCTCACCGCAGATGCTGAGTGCCTCCAACGCAATGGGAACCGAGAGATCTTAACAACATGAAAAATCAGATGCTCCGTTTGCAAACACATCAGGGCAAGGACCATATCCTCTTACTTGTCTGCAAGACCCTGTGAACACCAATCATATATAGTTGCAATGGGAGAAGACTTCCTTGCACGCACATGTAGATGTTCTATTAACATTAACAAGAGCTCTATATGTGCATAAGGGAACATTCCCATGTATGTTTACATAGAAAAAACAAGGAACCCTTGCTCTATGGACTCAATCCTGCACGTAAGGTCACCTCCAATTTAGATAAATGGGAGTGTACGTCACTGAGCACCTTGCAGGATCAAACCCTATTTGCATGTAGCACATCCTATAATAATGGCAATAACCATAGGGGCAGCTATGTATGTTTCATGCCTTTATCAGCTTTTCTCATTTACTCATGATTTCATTTTTGCCCTTTAATTGCCTAATTCCCTCTCTTTCTTAACTCACTGTAGCTAGAGAGGGAATTGACCTATGAGAAATTATCCAAGTGGACAAGCGCAGAAATGATGAAGACAACTGAAGTGGAGTTGTTTCTGCCCAGGATCAAGCTGGAAGAAAGCTATAACCTCAAGTCCACTTTGAGCAGCATGGGGATGAAAGATGCCTTCATTCTGGACAAAGCTGACTTCACAGGGATGTCTGAGCATAAGGATCTGTTTTTGTCACAAGTTTTTCACAAGTCCTTTGTTGAGGTCAATGAAGAAGGTACTGAGGCTGCAGCTTCCGGTGCAGTCGTTGTAGTAGTGAGAGCATCTGTAAATGCCGTAAGATTTAAGGCAGATCACCCTTTCCTCTTCTTCATAAGGCACAACAAAACCAAGAGCATCCTTTTCTTTGGCAGATTCTGCTCCCCCTAGAATGTGTTACTTTCCGCTACCACATAGCATCGTGTGTTCACCATGCAACTGGGAAATACATATTGAAGCCTGAAATTCAAAGCATAGGTCTAGTTTGCGCTTTTAGTTAGAGCCCTGAGCATGAGCTGCCTCTGTCAGGAGTAGCCCCAGAAGTAATTGTGCCTCCTCTGCTGCACTGAGGGGACAGTAATCTACTGCAGCCCATTACAGAGTGCAGCATACTACTACCCACAGCACTGAGCCTGCTCTCCTGGCTAGTGTTATGGGGGCCAGTCATGGTTCTGTAGCCTCTGTCCCTCCCCACCCACTTGTTCACAAGACAGGAGAATGCACCTGGGCGTTCAGGCCATGACCTCATCCCCATGCCTGCAGACAAGATGGGGACAGGTCTAAAGCAGTCATGCAGAATGATTTTGGTGGGTGGGAGGCTCTTAATCTCTGCTACTGTTGCCCATGGACACATTAAACCCTACTACAGTCAAGTGCTTAATAATTAACTCTCTTATTCACAGGTATTGCAGGTCTGTATACAAAGGGTAATTGAAAACACAGTAAGTCTTGTTTGCAAATCCCAGGCACAAGGCCAGTTAATGATAGAGAGTCAGCATTAACTCTGAATTTCATATTTGCCTTGAGTTGTATTTATGAAGTTTCTTCCATCCAAAATATATTTTCTTTTGTTCTTTCAGAGTGTTAAAATAGAAATTTAACCTCCACACATTCTGTCCACAACATTCCATTTGGAACTAGGCCATTCTGTCTACATGACAGATGCTGGACCATTTAAGAGTCAGTCTGCTGGACAAACACTGTACATTCATAAGTGCTAAAAGAGTTGTTAAATCAGTAACAACACTGCTCATAGAAGCACAGGAAAATCAACATTAGGCCAAATCTTCCCCCCATTGATTTCATTAGGAGTGTGATCTTGCTGACTGAAATGTTATCACATAGACCGTGATGAGTTTGTTAGAGATCTTATTGTCTGACATGTAATAAACTTGTAAGTGTACAAAAATGTTAACTATCTTCAGTCTAAATTTTCACTTTGAAAATTAACATTTTGGAAATTATTGTAATTTCATAAAATCTAAGGCAAAAGCATGTGAAATTCAGTGCTCCCTAGAGGCTCTTTAAACTAAACATTTATATTTACTAAGACCATACTTTACCTCCCTAAGGGCCCAATTCAGTTTTTACTGATGTCAAAGGAAGGACTCTGGATGAGGCACTAAACATTCTGCCAATGCTCTCTGACAATGTTGGCATAGAGTCAGTGAACTGGCCTAGCCTCCCCAGTCAGTGAACTTATCAACTTACTGTTTCTAGAGGGCTATGTAGGTGTGTCATGTTGCTCATACTAATATTTGTTCCTGTGCCTGATCTTTGGAAAATGTTTGTAAATTAGATTGTCCAACAGATCTGATGAGGACAACTGATGAACTTTCACCAGCATGCCTCCTATCTGACTATAATGGTTATCGACATATGATCTAACACCTGCAGCATTCAAACAATAGTAATGTTAATATAATTACTGGTTGTAATTTGCACCCATTCCTAGATACCTGTATCAATAATAAAGTAGAAAAATAGGCTTTCATTTCAAGAATGCAGTTTAGCAAAGATATCCCTGTTATTTACACAAATTGCAATGTGCTTTTAGCTGATATTTTACTCCATAACTCTAGTGTATGACTTGCAGTTAGAGCAATAAAAAAACACTGAGATTACATTTCTACAATTCAAATTGATGATTTAGCTGATTATAGACAGTGGGGTTTTTTTTGGGAGGGGGGGAGTTGTCAGTATTGTTTTGTTAAGCTATAATATTCTAAGCACTCTTAATAGTCACAGTATGTTTTCATTGTTACCATTCCAAAATGATAGTCACTTAACTAGGGTTGATTATGCCCAGTGCTTAATTTGTAATGAAAGAGGAGCCAGGGTTCATGCAATTTTTTATTTATTTATTTTTTTGCATACGTAATGGATGCAGTAAGCCTAGAGATGCCAGAGCGATGAACTGTCAAGCCTAGAGGTGCCGGGCTCAGCCCTGGCAAAAATTAAGCACTGATTACACTTAGCTGAGACTTTTAAAAATACCATTATCTTTGTATGCATTAGGCTGCACAATGGTATTTAAAATCATGTTATTTGAAATGTTCGCTAACACACTTGGCAAACACATCTCCTTTTCCTAGTCTAAACAGGGCCTTAGTGACTTGCTTCTATGAATCTGCCGGGAGCAGCATGTATTAAATTTAACCCTAACAGAACTCAAACCAGCAGAGAAGGCAGTGTGTGCAAGCTTCCCTGAACATAAGTAGCTCACTAATACAAAGAAAAATTCTTAAAAACTTTTTTTCTATATGTACCCAAATAATTTTATATAAATATAGATTCAGTACTAATTCATGTACACTGAAGTCAGTGAATTTGAATTCTATTACTGCAGGGTTCAGTTTGGCCCAGATTAAATGCTGAAAATTGTTTGTTTTGTGCCAGCTGCTTGTGACACCACTGGACCTGAGTTTTATTTGTTCAGCTGCTTAACAAGCCTGTTTTCACAGGACAGCTGTACTAGAGTCACAGATGCTGACCAGAACTATCTGTCTAAGCCAGCAGGGTTTATGCTGCCTGAAAGAAATACTGCCTGAAAGAAATACGATTATACCCAAACAAAAATAAATAAATCTTACTTTTCTAGAGGAGTGTACACGTCCACATAAAATATCATAATGAACCAGTTGTGCACCTCCCTCACAAGTGAAAAATACTCTGAATGTACAGTTTACACAATGTACATTTGCAGCCAAACCTGACCGTACAGTACATTCCCTTTCCGCCCCTCCTCTATACAAACGAAAATAGATTTTCTTTTCCAGCCGCATCACTCTCCTTCAGTTTTAAGGCGTAAAAAATTATTATTATGGACTTAGATCTTAGAAAGTGGGGCCGCGTTGAAACTCAATAGGCAAAAGGCAGAGAAAGGGCCCCACGCGTCTCTCTCAGCGCGAGCAATGAGGATGTGCGCCCGCTCGGTAGTAGGGCAGCCTCGGGCAATGCGCTGGCACCTAACTCTGCCGCATAAACATCGGTCCTGCAAACCGGGCCCTGCCGCGCCCTCCGCAGATAGTGCAGGAAACCAGCGACGGGCGGAGGCTGAGGAATTAAACGCCCCGTGGGGGGCTCCGGGCGCTTCCGGGGACAGGAGGGCGGGGCGCCGGGGCTCAGCGGAGCTAACACACGCCCGAGGCCACCTCCCCTTTGCCCAGCGCCACCGGAGCCGCTTCACTCGACCTGCGCTCAGCAGCGATCGACGCCGCCAGCCGCTCCCGCACCGGTACCGCAGCAGCCGCCCCTGGTTCCAGCCCCGGCCTGGCGCCCCCTGCCGCGGTGCCCGGGGGCCGCCCGCGTGTGGGGCGGGTGCTGCCGCGCTCGCTGCCTGGGGCGCGGTGGGAACCCGGAGCCGGGCGGGGGCGGGGGCGGGGCCGGGGCTGCGACTTGTGTTTAGTTTCCAGCCTGGGGCTCGGGGTCGCTCGGGTCTGGCGGGCGGGCAGGAGACGCTGGGAGGCGGAGTCGGGCCCGGGCATCGGCCCCAACGGGGTCGGCTCAAGCAGCCGAGGGCGGGGAGGGGGGTCCGGCTGGTGTCCGGCGAGTTTCGTTTCTCTTGCAGTGAGCGCTCCTGCTCGGGGCGCTGGGAGAGCGTGTGCGGTGGGGGGCGAGAGCCAGGAACCGAACCGTGCCCCCCGCGTGTGATGGAAGCCGCCAGGCCGGGGGGTGCGGCACCCTGTGCTCCTGGTGGGATGGGCGGGAGCGAGGGGGCAGCGTATGGGGGGGACAGGGGAGGAGTCAGGCTCCTAGGAGACCGGGCCCCGGAATCTTGACTCCACAACTCACAATAGGCACCCGGGGGCCTTTCCTGCCTTGAGAAGGTGACTCAGCCTGTGGTTTCCGCCTCCCAGTAAGACCAGGTGGAGGAGGGGGGTTATTTAGCCTTATGGTCCCTCCTAACCCTGTGATTCTGTGCGCCTGGCGCTGGGTTTCTTAGTGCCAGCCAAGGACCCTTCCCTGGTTCCCTTGCCGGTGGGCTAGGACAGAGCTGGTGGGTGTGGTACACGCAGCACAGGATGCTGGTACTTGGGATTTATTAAATCCGTTGCACATACAGGAGCCCTGCCTTGGCTGCTGACTCTTGGGGGAGAGGCTCTGGTGATGGAGGTGCCTGGCACTGCCATTCACTGAGGCAGTAAAACAGGGCAGGTGTCTCTAAATGAATCCCTGCAGCCCTGGAGTGAAGGAGGCAATAAAGCTTGCAATGAACATACTACGGTTATTTTCATAACCTCTGTATCATGGCATAAATCCGCACTACCCATGACAAAACTGAGCCTGAAGATTTTACGATCCACTGCAAGGCCTGCATGTTGTTTTGGCTGGTATTTCAATAAGTATATAATGTTGTCGCCCTGCTAGTCCCAAGATATAAGAGACAAGGTGGGTGAGGTAATAGCTTTTATTAGACCAACTTCTGTTGGTGAGAGAGACAAGCTTTCCAGCTATACAGAGCTCTTCAATACCTTTCTGAGACCTGAAGAAGTTTTAAAACTTGTCTGTCTCACCAACAGAACTTGCTCCAATAAAAGCTGTTGCCTTCCCCACCTTGTCTCTCTAATAAGTCTCTAAAACAGACAGTACAAACTCACTGGAAGGTTAGACTGTGAACCTGAATTACATTTTAATCGAAATGTGGGGATTAATTTTTTCTGGGTTCCTCACTTTCTTTTCCTCGCTTTACAGATAGAGCTAACTGTATTTCTAAAGTTATGTGACATTGTGGTCACCAGATAGCCTTATGTATTAGTGTAAAACAAGCTTTTTCTTTTTGAGGGGTGGGGATAGCCACTTCTGGGTACACCCTTTAGGCCCCAGTCCTCAAGCAAACCCTGCATAAAGGCCCATTCACTGCTTCATGGAGTCCTACCAGGCTGCAGAGGTCCAGACATGCAGACAGACTTACTGCAAGATTGTGGCCTTAGTTTTTAAGATAACTGTATATCTGCACAAACATTACAACTTGTTAAATACTGCCTTGGCTCCCATTACACTCCCACACAAGGGGAGATAGATATAGGTATGCATACGCAATATTTTATGAGATGAATTTTTAAAATTCAAAACTATTCACAGTATTCAGAGAGCAGAGAAGAGATTTTTGACATTGATTTGACAAAAACTAATCAATTGGCTGCCTTGTAGATGTCACATTTGGAATGGGCCTTAAGGAAGGATTTAAATATGGGGATTGAAGTTGCTTTGGAGACTAGTTCAAGAAGGGAGTTTCATGCATGGGAGAATTGTCGATGTGGAGAGAAGATATTTGGTAGTAGAGATTTTTTAATTTAGCAGACGGAGGTATAACGAGATCCTATAGCTGGAAGTTGAATCTTGACAAAATCAAATGGAAAGTAAAGTGCAAATTTTGAACAGGGAGGATAATTAACCATTGAAATAACTTACCAAAAGACTTGATGGTGTCTCAATCACTTCACATTTTTAAATTAAGATTGGCTGTATTTCTAAAAGATATGCTGTAGTTCAACCACAAGTTATGGGGTTGATGTTGCCCTAATGAGCGTGTCTGAAGTACCTTCACATGCTCATAAGGAGAGTGAAACTCTTAGAGTTATGCGGATGGTCATGAGGGACCACTGTAATCCTTAAAATCTGAGTCCTATACAAACTTGATGTTTGCTAGCAGGGGTAGAGTGGAGGGACTGGGGCAGTTTTGGCATCGGGGGCGGTGGGGGAGTGTTGGAATGAACAGACAAAGAAGGTAGACCAGTTATGCAGGGCCTTGAAGTCAAGAACAAGAAGCTTGCACGTAATGCAGTTTGGAGGGGGAGCAAGCCCTTTGATAAACAAATCCCTCACATCTCCTAGTTTCCCATTTCTACTCCATAACTTTTTGTTTCATTCAACTGGATTTATTGAATATGTATACGTTAAGTACAGTATTTAAACAGAGATGGGCAACATGATACACACTGCTACCTGACATGTGCCTCGGATGCACTGTGAGGAACAATATGAAATTAAGTGCTCTTTTATTATTATAGCCTCTTAATATCTCTGTGATAGTTTTTAAATGTTATGTCAATTCTAAAAAAGGTAGCTCTTATTCTCCTGTATATGCAGGTTAGCAGTTATCAAATACATTGGATTTTTTCCCCTAATTTTGACTCTTTTCCCTCTTTCAGTTTCAGTAACTAGAGGAGAAATGCACTGCAAATTTGCAAGCCTGTAAAGCCTGTGGCAGCTGTCATGATTGCAGGAGTGGTTCTTTTTAGAGTGTGTTGACCATAGATCTAGAAATTTTTCTAAATTACAAAAGAATTATCTGTTGTGGCATGGAAACTCACACTGTAATGCAGGGAGTTATCCTACACAGCACAGAGCAAAGGGGAAATACGAGAAATGCCATTGTCTGAGATCCCAGAATTTTATTCCCTCTGACATGTAGCCATCTGTACCAGCGCACATACAGACTCCACTGTTTGGTAAACTAAAAAAACAGCTCCATTATCATAGTCATGAAAGGAATCTGATTGGCTAGGCCTAATAATAGGGCCCGTGATATACATAGACCTGTATACAACAGAGAGATGCTTTCCTCTAAGGGAGAGGGAGAAGAATGTTCTTTTTCCTAATAGGATTACTGTAAAATGGAAAAGGGCAGATGATTCAGTTACTCGGTAATATTGCCATCAAACCAGATGGTCAATTAATATTCTAAATCAAACAGAGTCCAAATGTATTCCTGTTATTTCCAAGTTAGCACTATCTCGGAACCAGAGTGAGTGCCCCTTTGTATGTTGATTATCTGTTTTAGGGTTTGGATAAACTTCTGTCTTCAGTAATAAGACAGCATGATCACAACAGATCGGTCTTGCAATATTTGGTCAGAGGTGTTGAGGAGCTAGCAGGTCTGCGATTTGCTTTCTTGTCTCCTAGTTTGGAGTCAAATGCCAGTACAAAGAACAAATGCCAGTACTGAGTCTGTTGTTTTTCTAGAACATAATCAATTTAATTTCAATCAACTTGCAACTTAAGTTCAAGGTGCTTTTAATAGTGCCAAAAAGGTACATGATGCAAAAAGCAAATAAGCAAAAAACACCAGGGAATTAAAACTATAAAACATGTATCACATCTACACAAGAGAGAGGGAGATCCAATTCTAGTACAGGGAGGGGGCAAATTGGCTTACACCTCATCTGTATCCTCTGGCCCTTCAGTGTGGGTTAGAGTATCCCACAGGGCTTCCCTAATTTGTTCCCTGTCTGTCTTGGATTGATAGGCCTTGTGGCAGCTGAGGAATAGCCAGTGCATAGGAATGCACTAGTCAAGCCTTCCTCCCCCAGCACACCATCTAATATTGAAAAATATGGAAAACAAAAATAAGATTGTCCATTCTCTCTCACTCTGTATGATATAAAATAGAAGAGATCTGTCTTCCCACTCCCACCCCTCAATTTTCTTGACAAGTGGGATGTGAGCAGGCCATTCCAAAGAGTGTAGTTCTTGTCCAGTGGATGCATTACTGTAAGATTACTTATCAACTGCTGATCATGAGGGCTGGAAAAAGGGAATCAGAGCGGTTACAGTGTGCAGTCTGGCACAAGTGACAAGTTATAAAGGTGCAGATCAGTCATGCTGAGCTTGTATTGGTGACTTCACTCGAATTATGTGGTTTGCCTCACAGCACACAATAGATCATGAACTCTAATTTTGCAATCTTTAACTAAACCGCTCGTCTTCTAGGCGGATCCATTCAGCTGTAAGTGACATGAATAAAAAAACCAGCAGGTTGGGGCAAAAGGTCTGTGTTGCAGACTCCATGCAAACTTTGAATCAGGAATTAAGCACCCCTGAGCACTGAGCTTGCCCCCAACAGAGTGGTTCCTTTGAAACTTTCCATTTTAAACAGAACAACCTTTCTCACAGTGAACAACTCCTAAAAGAGACACATCCATTGATGAGAATGCATACCCTAAATTCAAAATGTTATGTCCCGATAGGAGGCATGTGGATACAATGGTACTGGGTGACCACGTAACAACCTAGATGGATCATCTTTGCATTGCTGTTAACGTAAATGTGGTCTACAAGTTTGGACATTTGATGAGTCTGACAATTTTCTCTTCTGCCTCTTCCCAAACCCATTCACTGCACTTGGCTCTCAGACCTGTGTATTAATGGAACTATCTTGCTGGCAAATCAGAAGTCTTATCTGTATGACAGCTGTCAGGACCATGATATTCTGTAACCTAGAAACCCAACACAAATAGTAACACTGGGAATAGATAATCCAGTCCAGTGTTTCTCAAATGTGACCACCAGGGGCTTTTTGTGGGGCCACAGACCACCTGGGTGGTGATGGGGGAGAGGGAGCAAAGCATTATCTCCCCCCCCTTCCCTTCCTGTTGTTCCCTTCCAGGATGCACCACCCTGCACCGCCTCTGGAGACAGGTGAGGCACAACCCTGAAGAAGCAAGGTGAATTCTGGACCTATGGGGCAGGGGCACAGCGGGGGTTGGGCTTCAGTCTTGGGGTGGTTGGGTGGTGGGATTTAGGGAGCCGGGCTGTGTGGACCAGGGCTTCAACCACGGGGCTTTGTGCGCCAACACCTGGCTGCAGCCGCGATGTTTGGGGTGCTGACCCCTCACTCTAGCCACGTGGCCCCGGCCTGCGGCCAGGCCCACAGGGCTTCAGGCTCCAACCCCTAGCTGTGTGGCGGCAGGCTCTGATTCCTGGCTCTGGCTCTGCGGCACCAACCCCTGGCTCCATGTTCTGACTCCCAGCCCTGATCATGAGCCCTCAATGCCAACCCCTAACCCCAGCTGTGCAACAGCGGACACCACCCTGGGTTCTGGTGGGTGCTGGTCCTGGGCGTCAATCCCTGTCAGTGATTGCCAATTCCTGATGCCAGCCCCAGCTGCAGATCTCCAGCCCTGGCTGCTGATCACAGGAGCTGGCCTGGCCACTGACCCCTAGCCCTGGCTGTGCATCAATGGATGCCAACCCCGGGCTCTAGGAGTGCAGATCTAGCCCTGGGTGCAGATTCCTGGTGGCGGGCACCAACCCCCGTCTGCGTGGCGGCAGGCTCCAACTCCAAGCCCTGGCTGCCGACCCCTAGCTCTGGACTTGCAGCAACGGCCACTGGTCCCAGGTACTGACTCCCCAGCCCCTGCCATGAGTGCCGACCTGAGCTCTGGCAGGAGCTGGCCCTGGGTGCCGATCCCCTGCCCTGGCCATGCAGCAGCGGGTGCCAACTTGGGCTCCAGCAGGTGCTGGCCCTGGGGCTGAGCCACAGCTCCAGGCACACAGCAGCAGGTTCTGACTCTGGCTCCTGACTCTGACTGTGCAGCTCCTGCCCCCGTGCTCTTGCCACTGGCACTGACCCCCAGCTACATGGCCACTGACCCCCGGGTCTGGTCACGGGGCTCACCGTCCACCCCCATCACTCCTGATCCCTGCTGCCTCACCTGGCCCTGCATCCAACCCCCCACCCCCATTGCCCCTGGACTCCACTGCCTTCCTTGTCCCACATCCATCCCCCCATTACTCCTGACCCCTGCTGATTCCCCCTCCATCCAGGGCTTAATTTGTCCTGGGGCTTGCTGCGAAAAGTGGTATTAACAAACGTGCAAATATCACTTTTCACAGCATTATTTTTATTATTGAGTCTGCAAAAAAAAAAAAAACCTACATAAGTAAATTACAATGATTTGGATGTCTATATGTGCTTCTATATTTATTTTTCCTAAAGTGAATAAAGTAATTTAGGAAATAGTGTCAGTGCGACCACCAGCAAGAGTTGGTGGCCATACTCTGAGGCCACCAAAAATTTTTTTGTGAGAACCCCTGAATTCTAGTCTCTGATAAAGGCCCAGTCGCTACATGTAGTCAATTAGACCAATGGCAGAAAAATAATCGAAGTGTAGCTGACTACAATAAGCATACTGCAAAGTACGTCTGAAAGTGGAAACTTAGGAAATTTGCAAGGGCATGATGGTATTTTTCTTCCAATACTTTAAAAATAATTGTTTAGATGTTAGCTGGATGGAATCAAAACTGAAAACTTTGTCACAAAAAATAATCTTTAAATAGCATTATTTTTATTTCAAAATTCTGGTAGTACTAGGTTATCCCTTTCTGACAGCTCAGAGGAATAAGATGTGGAGTTACTTATCTTAGACCACAGAGAAAGTCCATTTCAGAACCAGGAAAAGAGCTTCTGGTTCCCAGTCTTTTGCTTGGATTGCTAGAACAATAAAACTTTTCGATGGAATTACATAGAAAATCTGCTGTGTTACAACAGTTCAACTGGCTAGCGTGTGTGTCTAGTAGGATTTTTGCTACTGCAGTTGTAACATACAATGTGGTTGGAGTGTGTTTTCCAGTAAGATGGCTACAAAAATTTGCATGAGTAAACTTAACTGCATTCTGTGCAGGGCAAAATTTTTTATTTTTTGTAAGTCCCACAAAGTGACATCACTAAATATTATTGTTGCCGGCACAGAGTACCCGAGGCAGGCAACAGCAAGGTTCGTTGCCCGGTGTGCGTCACCCAATAATCACAACAGGGTGGAGAAGCGGAAAAGTTTATTTGAAGCTTCCAGTGGTACAGGGAGACAGTAACCTCAAATCCTGTACACAGAGCAGGAAGTTACACAGACTTTTATACATCCTTTCTTCAACATACTTATCCAATAGCAAGCTGCCCTAAGTATCCATATAGCCAGCCAATCCAGATACCAGCTAGTTCCCTTTTTCTTTGTACCATCTGTTAAACCATATATAAAGCTGCTTTGTTCAGCATTGTTCTGCCATATGTGCCCTGTCTGGCCTTGTTTAGTTTCAGACAGTCTGATTTTGCAACATATTGTTGCAAAATCCCCAGCATGACTGTTGCGAGTGCCTCCGGGCGGGGGGGCCAAGGACACTTGGGCCTAGTGCGAGGGGGCTTCATCGACACTCGTGGTCTTCCATACCGTCGAGTTACCTAGTGGCCATGCCTAGTGTCCCCAACGTTATCCTTAATTCAGTGTTGTAGAGTAAATGCCCTTCTTATTGCTTGAGCTCTGATAATTTTCAGAGTACACCTCAAATATCTAAAGATCAATCAGATGATAATGTAGTGTAGAAAACCCATCCTGGTTAATCTCAAATTTAAATTTTAGTTAATCATTCTCAGTGAAACAGAAAAAAAAATCTCCAACTAAATGTTTTTCTCTTTGTGAGGGCTGGAGGGCTGTGGAGATTGGTGCTCTTATTTTTAATTTAAATGCAGTTCTTTTGCACTCTTTCCTGAGTTTAACAAAGCCTCTGTCTTGAGTCAGTTACAGTTACGTACAATATCAGACAAATATACTTGATAGTTTGGCAGGCGTGTTGAATAATGCCTTAGTTAACAGCAAAGCTGCCAGCAAGCATTTTTCTTTTGTTGAAACAAGAAGTTGGTAGGATGTGGGTTTTTTCCTCTGAGTTAGACATTGTGAGTTGGGAATGTGAATTTGGTGTAGGTTTGTGTTTTGTAGCAATAAACATACCAGTGTTAGTTGCTGCCTTAGGATAAAAGATTTGAGACATTTTGAAGTTTTTGTTACTGGCTGAGACCATAAAATGGCTGTAAATTGTTATCTGTAGTTAATCCACTATTATCATCTCAACTGATATTGTTGTAGGTGGCTGGATCTGTAACCTCAGGTTAACATTTAACCCTCCCCCACTTCCTCCAGGTGGACTGTTCGCACTTATTTTCTAACAACCTCAGAAGTGCAAGTGTTTACCTGTGTGGTGTAAAATTCTCTGTGGATTCTTTTTTTAAATTCAGTCTAAGCTTTACAGTGCACAAGTGTTTCATGTTCCAGTGGTACTTAGGGTAACCAAACATGGACTAAATCAGACTTCGAGTTTCTGGTAACAGTGCAACAGGTACCAGTTTGTAACCTCTGGATGTCATCATGACCAACAGTACTTCCTCTCCCCTCTTTTTTTTTTTTTTTTTTCTTTTTCTTTCAAGAGTCAATGGGGCAATAGGATGGAGTCTGGGCTCTGGGACCCTCCCCCCTCATGGGGTCTCAGTGGCTAGACTTCAGCTTGTGCCTGAATTCTATACTGAAGTTTTATAGCCCTGCAGCCCTGAGTCAGCTGACCCACGCTAGACACATCTGTGCCTCAGGTCTTTCACTGCAGTGTAGACATAGCCTGTGTGTCTTGCCCAAGGCCACGCAGGAAGCCTGTAGCAGACCAGGGAGTTGATACTGGGTCTCCTGAGTCCCAAAATAGCACTGTAATCAACAGTCCATCCTTCTACAAAAATGATTTCTTTGCTACTGTGCTGTAACTGTGCACTTGAGAAATCCCCTAAATAGCTGAATAGTTTTAGAATATTTTTATTAGAAAGTTGCCTTGACAGTTTTGTATAGACTCTCCAGTTTCTTTTAGCTCTTTATTGCCATATCACTAACCAAATAAATCCCGCCCCCCTCCCCCCCAACAATTAATTTAAATTAGTATTGCCTGCTGGTTATAGGTTCTGAAAATACAAAACATATCAATCAGCTCTAATTCATAGAATCATAGAATAATAAGACTGGAAGGGACCTTGAGAGGTCATCTAGTCCAGTCCCCTGCACTCCTGGTAGGACTAAGTATTATCTAGGCCATTTCTGACAGAGGTTTTTATAACCTGCTGTCATTAAAAATAAAGGGAAGGGCAACTACCTTTCTGTATACAGTGCTATAAAATCCCTCCTGGCCAGAGGCAAAACCCTTTCACCTGTAAAGGGTTAAGAAGTGAAGGTAACCTCGCTGACACCTGACCAAAATGACCAATGAGGAGACAAGATACTTTCAAATCAGGAAGAGGGGAAACAAAGGGTCTGTCTGTGTGATGCTTTTGCCGGGAACAGATCAGGAATGCAGTCTCAGAAACTCTGTAAAGTTAGTAAGTAATCTAGCTAGAAATGCGTTAGATTTCCTTTTAATGGGTGGTAAAATACACTGTACTGAATGGAATGTGTATTCCTGTTTTTGTGTCTTTTTGTAACTTAAGGTTTTGCCTAGAGGGATTCTCTATATGTTTTGAATCTGTTTTCCCTGTAAGGTATTTACCATCCTGATTTTACAGAGGTGATTCTTTTACTTTTTCTTTAATTAAAATTCTTCTTTGAAGAACCTGATTGCTTTTTCATTGTTCTTAAGATCCAAGGGTTTGGGTCTGTGTTCACCTGTACAAATTGGTGAGGATTTTTATCAAGCCTTCCCCAGGAAAGGGGGTGTAGGGCTTGGGGGGATATTTTGGGGGAAGACATCTCCAAGTGGGTTCTTTCGCTGTTCTTTGTTTAACACGCTTGGTGGTGGCAGCATACGGTTCAAGGACAAGGCAAAGTTTGTACCTTGGGGAAGTTTTTAACCTGAGCTGGTAAAAATAAGCTTAGGGGATCTTTCATGCAGGTCCCCACATCTGTACCCTAGAGTTCAGAGTGGGGAAGGAACCTTGATACCTGCTCTTAAAAATCTCCAATGATGGAGATTCCACAACCTCCCTAGGCAATTTATTCCAGTGCTTAACCTGACAGCTAGGAAGTTTTTCCTAATGTCCAACCTAAACCTCCCTTGCTGCAATTTAAGCCCATTGCTTCTTGTCCTATCCTCAGAGGTTAAGAAAAACTATTTTTCTCCCTTTTCCTTGTAACAACTTTTGCGTACTTGAAAACTGTTATCATGTCTTCTCTCAATCTTCTCTTTTCTAGACTAAACAAACCTAGATTTTTCAATCTTTCCTCATAAGTCATGTTTTCTAGACCTTTATTCGTTTTTGTTGCTCTTCTCTGGATTCTCTCCAATCTGTCCACCTTTCCTGAAATGTGGCACCCAGATTGGGAGCTTTCCAGTAATTTCTTTATGCATAAGTGTATTTGTAATGAGCAACTACCGGGCGGCAGCATAAAAATAAAGCCATTATGTTATGGAGATTAGTAAACAGACTGCAATGTGGGCTCCTTTTCACTGGCTGTTGGATGGAGACAACCAAATTAACTTCATATAAGCTACAGAACAGTCATCAGATGCCAACACAAACTTTTTTTATTACTAGTATGTGTTCTTGGATGGGCACATATGTTTACTACTCATCTTCATTAGACTTTCTTTAATCCTAAAGAGTCTGTCATATTACAATGTGAATTAAGGATAATATTCCTTTTAAAATCCTCTTGTCATGATTGCTCCCAATTGGTTGAGTGAAAAATGCTGGAAGCAGAATCTCCTGTTGGTCACTGACACAGGAATAGATGGGCTGAGAGTATAAAACAAACCCAGTGCTGAACAATTGCCCTCTAATTGAGGTGTCAGAAAGGGAAGAGGAAAGGAAGTTAAAAATGACTGAAACATTAAAGAGAAAAGACTATTATAAAGAGCTCTTTTCTTACCTGTGTTTCCCTCCCCATCATAAACTCTCTCTCTTCCTACTGTGCCCATTATATTTTCCTATTTCTCTTCCCATTTTGCCTCAATCTCCCTATCTCTGCAGAAGGGGCACTCCACCCCTCTTAGGACATATAGTCGCAGGATCCACTTTCCATAACTCTGCTGTGAATAGAAGACAAACACTATCCTAGTGGGCTAGAAACAGCCAAGTAATATGTGGATTTACCACTAATGAGTGAATAAGGCAGATGTTTATAGAACTTTAAACCCAAAATCACTTTTTAGTTGACTAAGAAAGTTACCAACCCAGATCATAAAGTACATGCAGTGAATATTTTACACCAGAGAATGTAATATAAATTCAAATAATTATGTACTGCAGGTTGGATTAAAGTAAATTTGAGGTATTAAGTATTGCACAACTGTGACTTAAACAACGTGCCTCCAATAATGACCATTAAATATAAAACAAATTCAACATCTGCTGATAAATTTGGATCACCTGTATAAATATGAAATATAAATTGTATTCGTGTGGCTAAACAGTTCTGTAAGCTAGGTACTGAATTCCTGAAAAACTGTGTATAATGTTTTTGAAAATCGACACGAATCTTAGAGAATTGGAAAACTTTGCAATTTTTGTGAGTTTGTCCCACTTGTTATCTGAAGGCTCTTATATAAACTTGGATTTTGAGAGAGAGAGAGACAGAACACATGGTCCTTAAACTTATTTGACACTGTGCTAGATCCTGAGGTGATGTAAAACCAGTGTGGTTCCACTGACTTCAGTGGAGTTATGGTGCTTTATACCAGCTGAGAATCTGGCACATTAAATACTCCATTATATTTTAAATCTGTATCTTATATGATCTTTCCTTTGTGTTTTATAGGTTCTGAACCATGGATAACCTCAGTAAAGCAAACGCCACCTTTGCACTCAACCTATTCAAAAAGCTGAGTGAAAATACCAATACACAGAACTTATTCTTTTCTCCTTTGAGTATCTCCTCTGCTTTGTCCATGGTTTTTTTGGGTGCAAAAGGTACCACTGCAGCCCAGATGGCAAAGGTATGTCTGGATAAACTTGGACCACTTAACACAACTTTGCTCTAGAAGCTGAACTACAGATCTCTATTGAATGTTCTGTACCTATGGAAAACTCCCATTATCATCCTTGTGAGCCTGAGAGTAGAATTTTGGTGGCACCATACAGCTGAGGTGCCTTGAAAAAGAGAGAGCTGTCTAGCTGCCTCAAGAGTTAGAAAAGAACTTCTTCAATTACATTCTCTGCTATTAATATCAGATTATACTAGTAACCTAAATATGTCTTAAAAACATAGCCAGGAGCATTTTCTTAAAATCAGGCCCCCTGTAAGGTGTCAAGTTGGGCAACCAAAAAAAATCACTAGTCGCTTTTGAAAATGTAGGCCTCGTTCATTAAATTCTTAATGCCAAATCCTGCTCCAATGAGCACTCAGAACCTCGAGAGAGAAAGAGGGCCTAGGGAAGAAGAGTTGGGTGCCAAGTATGGAGCCCTGAGGTCCCACTGAAAGCTCAAGCAAAGACCTAAGAGGAGAACCAGGAGATGGAGTCACAAATGCTAAGGGAGAACAAGATTTAGAAAAGGAGAGTGATCAATAGTGGCAAAATTGGCAGGAGTCAGGGAAGATGAGCATGGAGTTGAGGCCCTGAGATCTGGCTGAAAAGAGGTTGTTAGAGGGAAGGACTTCTGTGTGGCATCTACATCCTTTTAGGTTCTCTTAGCTTGTACTTCTCTTATATTTTTAGTATAGTCTACTTGGAGTCTTGGGGTGAGAATTACAAATTTCGAAACTAGATTTATAGCTGTCCACTTAGAGCCTTATACAATATTTGGCTTGGGGAGGGGAAGAGTATGTCTAAACGTGCAGCTTCAACAGTAAAATAGGGTGGAGTTAGAACTGATTCCTTATAATCTGTAAGGACTTTTAGAATTGGCATGTATATGTCTTTTTGTTTAGAATAATGTTGCTAAAAATTACATGCACTAGTGGGTGTGCCGAAGTGGCATGACCTGTGAGTCCATGACAGTGGGTGTGAACATTCCCTTGTTCTGTGTCAGTAAAATCTGTTGCTCAAAATATCAAGCAGTACAACAGCTCTGCAATTGTCCTGGAATTCATATCATGACATTTTTTAGCAGTTATTACTTTGAAGCAAACCCAACATTTGGGAGGTAGTTTTTTTGTAAAAATTCAGTCTTTTTAGTGTCACTTTAACTCAAACCAAGGATGAATTTTAAGCTTTGATACTAGGGATATTTATTTAAACTACAATGTTTAAATAAACATTAAGACAAATTCTTCTGTTGCATTGGTGTAAAACTGGAGTAACTATTAGATTTCAATGGAATTGTGTCCGATTTACATCTATGTAAATGAAAGCAAAGTTTTGCTTGATCTTGATTTTCAAAACGTTGACCTACTAGATGTGACATCAATGAATTTAGCCCAGAGACTTACCATGGGTCTCCCTCAGAGTTATCCCAGACTGCATTTGGTTGAATTGGGCCTGTTGTGTCCGATGGGGACTGTGCCTTCGATGAGCTGCCCGTCTCCCCTGTTGTCTGTTTGGTCCTTTGGGAAGCCTCTGAGGTCTTGGGCTATTTTTGTCACTTTGGGCATTTGCCTCCCCACTTGCAATGAAGCACTGTAGAGCTAAAGTTTTCCCTTAGAAAGGGATGTTCAGGGTGTCTTACTTCACTACAGTGTTTCCTAGTATAAGAGCCATTCTTGATCTCTAGTAAATAAATCTTGTTCATATTAAAGCAAAGGACTAATGTACTGGAGCACTAAGTCATTCCATAACATTTCTTCATTCCACTAATGTTTAAGCTCAAATAAAAGCCAGATCTGTTCTTGAATGTATTCCCAAGAGAACCTGTGCTAACTATTGTACTATAAGGTGCTTCATCTTAGTGAAGAAGGAAAAGAATGAGGAATGGAACAATGCAAACATAAAATGATGCAAGAAAAATCCATTATGGAAGGCAAAATGGAGACCCTGTTCAAAGACAGCAGCATCCTATGGTAGTGCTTGAATTGAAGGCATAGTTCCAAAACATTGCTAGAAGCTTTGGGAAAAGGACTGTTGAAAGGGATACCATCAACATAAATCTTACCTTGTCTGAATTTTTTTTAACCTCTTAGTGTTGCAAGTAACAGTTAAGATTAGGGAAAAATAAGGGACATTTCCCCCAGTTTGTATACGTGTGCATTTGACAGCACTTGGTGCTTCACTGTTTCTTCCATAGAGACATTTTCCCTGTTTGTCAGGCTCTCTTGCACAATGAAACAAATTAAAAGAAAGTAATTATAAAGCTACAAAAATCGACATGGGGATATAGAGACAAGTATAGGACCCGAAGCTACTTTAAATTCATGTATATTTTGAAACTGAGTAGATTTCAAGTTGATGGTTTTCCTTTAAACTCTCCAGAACTGTTCATTTTATGTGCCCTAAAGCTAGGACTGAGTGAGGGGTCTCTTCAAAACAGCTATGTTTATTCCCACGGTAAAAATTTGTATGCAGTTTCTCTCTCCTCACCTGCACAATGAGTCCAAATGTGTTGGGTTTTGGGAAATCCTTTCCCTTTTAGGGCTGTCTTGGGTGTTCAGGCTGCAGCTTTCATCTCTAAGCTGCTGAAAGGCATTGTACTAACCTGTTCCAAAGTGCATGTTTCAGCACGTGTGTCATGCTGAGTGTATTCCTCTCTTTTTCTATAGGTGCTTTCCCTGGACGAAACTGAAGACATTCACGATAGATACCAGTCCCTTATTTCTGAAATTAACAAGCCAGGCACTAATTATTTGCTTAGGATTGACGTTTACATTTCTTGCAGTAAGTCAAACGTTCAGTTTGCTTTTCTGTTATAACACATTTGCTATGCTTCCATTTCTGAGTGCAAATAAAGGTGTTGGCTTTAATCTGCAGGCAGTATGTAGTTCAGGACCTGACTAACCAAAGCCAGTCTCCTTGTAAAATCCATTCATGTGTTCAGCTGACTGTTTGACAGTCCCTAGCTCTGAACTCTAGAGAACTGGAGCAGAGCGTTGTCAATGGAAGGTCCGTCAAACCCCAACTCTTCAGCATTCCATTAATCACTCAAGTATTTTTGGCCAGGAGCTAAGATTAAGGATTTCCTTCAAATGGTGGACAGGGAGGGTAATAGGCATTATTGTGTGACTTTTTGCGGTGTCTTCCTTCCCCCTAAATTGGACAGTGCATTCAAAGGACACAGCAATGGCCACATAATTATTTTTTTAAATCAGACAGAAGAATGATTAAAAATTCTCCAAAGACTTAGCTGAGAGTAACAGCTACTGGGGTATACATTTCCCTTTTAAAATGTGTCCAAAAACGTGTACCCCTAATTTTAACCTTACTCTTTCCCACCCTTCCTTCATCTCAAAAAATTAAGAGATAACTGAAAATCTCTCAAGTTTTAGATTCTAAAAAACAAACTTGCATTTTCAGTAAGGTAATCAACCTTACCTGCCCCATTTTACAGTAATTCTATTACTAAAAGGATTGCCAGTATAAACTGGCTCCGATCAAGAGTTCCTCTTCTCAATTAAAGTTAAAACCACTGTGATTACATATTTAAACTTTGCATCTTTGGCATTTGGTCCATAAAATAGAAGACGCCAAAATACAAATTGGAGAGAGAGAGCATGATTTTGACCTAACCACATAATTACTGACCTATTGATATTTGCACAGCAGGCCTTTTATAAGGCTGAAGAGCTTGTGGTTATGGTCCACACATACTGTAGAAAAAGATATAGAAATAACCCCCCTGAGGTTTCACTTCTGAACTAGATCAGGTTTGGGTTACTCTGGGAGGGTTACAAAAAACTTTATCTAGAGATTGATTTACAAAGCCTTGTACTCTCAAACCGAAGCAAATTGATTGCATTACTCTCAGCAGGCAGTCTTGTTGATCTGTCAGTAAGCCAGCTGCTTGGACTAATGTAATAATAGAAAATAAAACATTCAGTTTGAAAAGAAGTGACAACAAGTTGGTGTTAAAGACTATTTTATGACCCCTTCTAAAGGGGTGGGAGAGGAAGAGGTAGATTCTATGTTTGAGTCTTCTACAACTGCACATCAAAAAAATATATTGTTAAGACATCCTGCTTTGTTTGTCCTAGACATTTATAGATTCCTGCCGGAAATGCTACCATGCAGAGCTAGAGCAACTTGACTTCTCTAGAGCTGCAGAAGATTCCAGAAAACATATAAATGCCTGGGTAGAAGAAAAAACTGAAGGTAAGTAGCTTGCAGAGTTCCAGTGTCTTTCTGAACAGCCAAAGCCTGCTTAAAAAGCATATGGTCTTAAGAGAGATACAATAAGGGAAGGAGAGGAAAAACAGAACTGAATCCTTCAGATTAAGATGTAGTTCTTGTCTTGTGCAGTAGGTAGAAGATAGATGCGTACCAGCTAAAATCTATTCTTCCTTTAATGTGTCCTAAAGGTAAAATCCAGAATCTGTTGGCTCAGGGCATTGTTGATTCAATGACCAGACTGGTCTTGGTGAATGCCATCTACTTCAAAGGCAACTGGGAAACCCAATTCAACAAGGATTGCACAGTGGAAAGGCAGTTTAAAATTAACAAGGTATGAAGTAGGGAAATGTCACTAATTTTGCAGTACTCTTCACCCAGAGAAAACAAAAAATGCTTTTAATCAGGATTGCCCTAAATACACTTTACTACAATCCTCTATTCTATTCTATCCTATCCCATCCCCTCAACACAACCCCTCTGGTTAGTTTATTGCAAACATCTTTGAAACTACATTTTCAATTAAATATATTAACTTAGATGTATCCCTTGTTTCGCTTTCTGCTGCACCTCTCACTGTATCTTTTCAGTGTTGGAGGGAGGTAGCCTTTAACATAAAATTTTAACATGGAAGGGAAGAATGTGGATAAACGAGTGTCGGACTCCATAAATTGGGATCCCATAAATTGTTCAGTGGTTAGAGAACCTGGAAGTCATTTAATCTCCTTGTCCTCTAATGTGCTGCAGTTTTGTGTGCAGAACTACCACAGAATTAAGTTTACTTACAGAAACTGGTCCCTTCTGCTTCAGTTTTTACCCAGTGATAAAATTGGAACACAAATAATGCTCAAGTACCTCACGTCTTGTAAGGTTTGATTTGTGGCGATGGCTAATTCTCCTCACATCAGTGTAAATCAGGAGCAACTCTACTGCAGTCCGTGGAGGTAAATGAGTATATGCTCTTTGGGACAGGGACGGTCTTCTTGCTGGGACAGTGGTGTCCTGATCCATGGCTGGGATTCCAAGGGGTACAACAGTATAAAAAGTGTGAGAAGAATTGGGTCCTAGGGAACATACATGCGTTCAGATGCTTTGGCACATGGAACACTTCTCTTTACAACAAGCTTTAATCAAAACAAGATCATTTTTGCTTTAAAATGGATTCCACAATTAAATTGATACAAATTAGATCAGGTTTCTTTTTTTTTAGCTACTCACATCACAGTGTGAAAATCTCATCTTAAAGTGCATCCCTACTACCCCAAGGCATAATACAGTAATTCTCATTGTGGCAATAGGCCAGCCCTCCTTCTTGCAGAAGCTCATCCATCCTCATGGGACTGTCTCAAAATAGCACAAACAGGGACTGGTAACATGATTCTGGAGAGCTAAATCTATTTGCATACCAAGAAACTGAATGAAATGTGAGCCATCCTGTGTGACTTGTACCCATCCCTTCCTGGATGGTGAAAGACATTCAGGAGTGTCTGGAAGCACTACTGTCTCTTAATGCCATCTTTTAGAGAGAGAATTTTATCGCCCAGCCCAACACATGTTATAGTCAGGCCAGCACTCCAGAAGCCATGAATGGAAACCAGACTTTACTGCTTGAGGGTCTAACTTCTTTCCCATTTGTGAATAATGTAATGAAAATGCAAGTGGATACACCTGCTTACTATCTGTATAGTTTACCTCCCCAAATCTGGGCTTCAGATCTTGATAGGTAACAGACAGCACAAGTAGTGTTGATGGATGACCTGCTCTTGTCCATGGATGAGAGACATACATTCACACTACTGGATCTCTCTGAAGCATTTGATAGAATGCTATTGTCCTGCCTTAGACCTACTGGGGAGTTCGTGCCAATCTTTCCTACCAGGCCCTCCCCAGAAAGAGCCCTAACTTGTGAAGTTGCTTAGTTCTCCCTTTTCTTCTTTGGGGGTAGAGGGGAATCAGTACTATGCTGACTCTCCATTGAATACAGGGTCATATTAAGGTTTTGACCCTAATCTTCAAAGCTGTCTCTGAAACTGGGCTGAGCTACCAGAGGACTGCATTTTCTTCTTGACAAGGAATATAACCTTTAAAGGAATTCATTAGGAACTACAGAACTGTCAGTCACCAAAACTCGAGTGGAAGACAGCAGATGATCCACAACTATGAAATTCACTTTATAAGGCACAGGAATGACCACAAATCTCAGTGCTTCCAGAACAAACTGTAAAACTTACTCTTTTATCCTCAGCCTGCTTACACTTACTAGTCATAATGAACTGTCAGAAATGGAGTTCAGATAAGCACTCAGAAATCCAGATGCTACCTGAGCTTTTAGGCTCCTCTCTGGTATCAACCATGAACACTCCCAACAGCCTTTCCAGCATACTAATAGCCATTCTCTTTAATCTACTTACAGGATCACTGTTTGTTTTTGCTGCCTGCTCCTTCCCTAAAACGCAGCAAGATCCTTAAGAAAATCTGACTTTGTGCCCCTGTCCACTCAACCCCTCCTTTTCTGTATTAACAGGCAATAACAGCGATGGCCATATTTGCCATTTAGCAGTCAGAGGTTTGAAATCTCCTGCCTACTAATCTTTTAGATTTAAGTTTTGGAAAAGTTGGATTAATGGCCTTACAGTTTCAGGCTAATTCCTATTTTCTCATCTTGTTACTCATCTTGAATGACAAGAAAATAATGAAAAAGCCTCACAAGCTTGTGCTCCATAAGAAAAAGGGTAGGAGATAGTGGATTTCAAAATGGTCATTTCAAACCATTAGTGGCTTTATAATTTTAGGATTTAATTATTTGTATAAGTCAGTAAAATATTTTATATTTCTTTTGAGATTGCATTCCGGGACCAGTAGCCTAAAAGAACTAAATATTTAAGCTGAAGATGTTCCCTGTCCATTTGAAGCCAAGATTAAAATATGTTTTTAAATTAAAAGGCTTGAATCCAGGTGTGAAACTCTTTAGGCACAGAGGTCCAGTGTTTTTACAATTTTGTTGATAGGAAGCTACACACTAAGCAAATAAAATACCTCTGTTGTTTTCCTGAAAATAAATCTCAAGGGACTGGGCATTACAAATGGGAAAAGCCTGATGAAATTCTAGTTCATTCCCTCCCAACCCAATGGGCAATGGTAGGACCCTTCCCTACAGTATTTTCTAGTGCTCTGTCCAGCCTAGTTTCAGATGTCATAAGTGATTTGAATCCCAGTTCTTCTAGGTTAGTACCAACATGCTGGCTCTGTATTACTTGTTGACACTGATATATTTTTTTTTTTTTTAAAGAATGAGACCAAACCAGTGCAGATGATGTTCCAGAAAGCTAAATTTAACATGAGCTACATGGCAGATTTTCGGACCAAAATCCTTGACCTCCCTTATGTTGATAACGAGACTAGTATGATCATCCTACTTCCTGATGAAATCCAAGATAATTCCACTGGCCTGGAACAGGTAAGGCATTTGTACTGAATACAAAGGCAGCTCAAATCCTGCCAGAGAAGAGCATTTGACTAAATCTCATTTGGAGCTTGGGACTTGAATTCACAAATCTAAACTCACCAGTATTAACACAAGGTGGGAGAGCTGAGAACACATTGCATCTGTCCCCCAAGGGATGGGAATACCATGTGTTACTGTCAAGTAAACCCAGCTCTCTCTGATGTCTAGGGAAATGTTAAGTTCTGAAAAGAGAGATTTCTTGACCAGAGGAGGGGTCACCAGGGAGTGGGATGAAGCCAGAATGTAGTGAGCGACAAACTGAAGGAGATCCTGTAGAGCTTCCATTCTCACAAAAATCACTTCCTGTTTGACAGATTTTCCCCATATTCCTTTCTAACTGTTGTGGGTTGGGCTCTCCCTCACTGTACCTAACGGTTGCTTCATATGGGAGTCTTCAAGTGCTCCTCCATTCAAGAGCTGATTTCCTTTCTGTACTATATTGTTACTGAGCTGGCAAGGGATGGCGAAATAGCAATGCCTCTCCCACAGTAGCCATGTGTCAAATATAAAGGGAAGGGTAACCACCTTTCTGTATACACTGCTATAAAATCCCTTCTGGCCAGAGGCAACATCCTGTTACCTGTAAAGGGTTAAGACGCTCAGGCTAACCTGGCTGGCACCTGACCCAAAGGACCAATAAGGGGACAAGATACTTTCAAATCTTGGGGGCGAGGGGAGCCTTTTGTTTTGTGCTCTTTGTTTATGTGGTTGTTCTCTCTTGGGACTGAGAGAGACCAGACAGAAATCCATCTTCTCCAACCCATCCTAATCCAAGCTTCCAATATTGCAACCAATATAAGTAAGTCAGTCAAGGCGGATTAGTTTCTTTTGTTTTATGTGAATTTTCCCTCTTTTAAGAGGGAGGTTTATTCCTGTTTTCTGTAACTTTAAGGGTTTGCCCAGAGGGGGATCCTCTGTGTTTTGAATCCGAATACCCTGTAAAATATTCTCCATCCTGATTTTACAGATTTGATTTTCACCTTTCTTTTAAGAACCTGACTGATTTTTCCATTGTTCAAAGATCCAGTGGTTTGGGTCTTCGATGATTTTGTAACCGATTGGTTAAGATATCATTCTCAGGCCTCCCCGGGAAAGGGGGTGTGTAGGGCTTCGGGTGGGCGGGGCTGGGAAAGACGTCTCCAAGTGGTCTCTTCCTCTGTTTTGTTTAAAACGCTTGGGGGTGGTGGCAGCATACTGTTCAAGGACAAGGCAAAGTTTGTACCTTGGAAGTTTTTTTTTTTTAACTTAAGCTAGTAAGAATAAGCTCAGGGGGTCTTTCATGCGGGTCCCCACATCTGTACCCCAGAGTTCAGAGTGGGGAAGGAACCTTGACACCATGTCTTCCAAGTACACTTCATTACTAGTGACAACATGCAATTGTATCAACTTGTCACCACGAAAGATGGATTTGTGACAGTACTTGCATATAGTACAGTGGGGCTCTGATCCTAATTAGAGGATCTTTTGAATATACGGATATAAGAATGTATCTGAATGCCATTTATTTTTTGCTTCTGACCTCAGCAGTAGCATTCACTCCAGATCAGGAAAGGATGCTAATCCCTGCTGTGTAAACACACACATTCGTCATTGTTTCATTAGTATAAATTCCTGGCTTTTCTTCCTCTTTAATTTTGACTCTTTTTCTTATAGCTGGAAAGAGAACTTACCTATGAGAAACTTATAGAGTGGATAAATGCAGAAATGGACTATAGTGAAGTGGAGGTATTTTTACCCAGATTTAAGCTGGAGCAAGCTTATGATCTGAAGCCTGTTCTGAAGAGCATGGGAATGGCTGATGTATTTGACAGAAAAAAGGTGGATTTATCTGGAATGTCAGCCAGCAATGACCTAGTTCTGTCTGAAGTTGTTCACAAGTCCTTTGTGGAGGTAAACGAAGAAGGCACTGAGGCAGCAGCTGCTACTGCAGCAGTGATCACTTTGCGATGTGCACTGATTGTACCACGGTTCACTGCTGACCATCCTTTCCTCTTCTTTATCCGGCACAACAAAACTGGCAACATTCTGTTCTATGGCAGATTTTGTTCCCCCTAAAAAGAAAAAATGCAGCCATTAACACAGTAAAGTTATTTCCATTGTACTATCTTGGGATTTTTTTTTTTGCACTCTAAGCAACAAGATTTGTACAGATGCTGTACGTTACATGGTACAACCCTACACACCCTTCTCTCTTGTGCCTGAAACCACTTTTTGTAATCCTCTATTCAAATTTAAGCAACAGTTTTAAATAATAGGATCATTTAAGAATGTCTGTTCCAAGTGGTAAGACTTAAAATGGCATTTACCATAGTTCACTGGAAAACACCCCTTGTATCCTGTATATCTAAATAAATGCAGATTTCTTTAGCTTGAGTCCTGGCTCATCTTTAGCCATAACTACTTGCTTAATGCATCCCTCCATCTCTGTACATATTCCCCTAGAAATCTGGTTCTCATACTTGGGGTTGCTTAGCAACAAGTGGTAAGATCTTATGGGGAGAGGAAGGAAGAAAGAAAGAAGACTGGCTTCTGACTGACCTCCAAATGCTTTTTGCAAATTTCCCTTCTCCCTGTCTTATTTTCCAGACTGGTTCCTTCCATGTCTAGCTGTGCAGCCATCTAACAGATTTTTATGAACACTACTAACACAACTGTCATTGGGGAATAATTGATCAAGTACTTATTCAAGACAAGGAATGAAGTCAACTCCACTGAAGTCAATGGTAAAACTTGTTATTGACTTCAGTGGGGTCAGAATTTCACTCTGCATGTATCTTATCACTCGTTAACCTGGGTTACATTAATGTTTAACACTTGTGAAATAGGACAGACATTTCTATAGCAAAGATTATAATAAACTTCCAGGACACATACAGTAACTTAAATGTGAGAGCTCTCATTTGTATCTAATGTAACAAACCACGAAGGCAATATGTAACTCAGCAGTTTGTATAGCTTTTTTGCTCAGACGAATAATGCTAAACTCTCCAGCCATAATGGCTTTATACAGTGATTTTGGTCTTGCTGTTTCTGCTCCTTGAACAAAAAATAAAGGAACTGATGTGAAGTGCTATGTGGTCAGGTTTTGTTTGGTTTTAATTGTGTAATTCTTCAGCTATAGTGTGATCGAAACAAATGTGTGAATTTTTGCCATCGATAACTACCAGGGACAGGCTCTGCCATTTTAAGACTGCACTAGCAGGGCTCCCACTCCCGTGAAGTCCAGTATGTATTGCCTCCTTTATAATACTTAGCTGCCAAAAACATGTGTAAATAGAGTCAATAGAGTGGTTAACTTGGAACACAGAATTTAGTGCTGTTCTGAGTGTTGAAGCTAATTCAGTTTCAGCGTCCAATTAGATTTGCCAACAGCACCTCTTAACCTGGCAGAGTGAAGTCTGAGTAGGTAAGGAATAGTGTCAATGAAAACCTTGTTGCTGAAAATAACCTTTCACTGTATTATAAATTGCAATAAGATACCAGTCCTGGGTTGTATGCAAGGTTTTCATTCCCTCTGCCAACTACAAATCCTGACCCTTCACAATCTTTGCCCCTACAGGCACTGGTACAGAGTTTGGCATTATCCACAAAACTGTAAGGAAGTAGAAACACTGACTTGACTTTAAAGGAGGTGAAAAGGAACAATCCCTGTGGGCAGAGCTAGGGCATTCTAAGCTGCCCTGGGATTTGACAGTGGGCATGCACCACAGCAGTTCCTTAACTCTGGAGAAATTTAGGGAAACCCTCCTACCAGCTGAAGCAGTTCACTATTAAAACATATTTCATTATGTGTATTTCAGTAGTGCCTAGAGCTCCAACCATTACTGGGGGCCTATTGCGTTTGTACACCGCCTACTACAGAGAGACAAAATAGTCAAAACAGAAGAAGGGAGAAGTAAAGTGACTCGTCCAAAGTCACAGCAGGTCACTGGCAGAGCTGGGAGTAGCACCCACATTTCCTAACTTCCAGTCCAGTGCCCTGTATCTTAGATCCACGCTGCCTTATTGTCACCACGGAGCCAAAAATCATTGGTGGCAGGAACAACACAACTGACTTCAGATGAGTTGCTCGTGCTTCCATCAGCAATGATTTTTGGCCCATAATTCTTTCACTTGGCAGGAAAGAAATGGGAGACTTTGTTAGTTTCATTTATACTATTGCCTGCAACTTGTATTTTTTTTTTTTTAAATTGTCATCCATTACTCAAATGCAGTAGAAATTTCGGTGCAAAAAAGTAAATGCATGCTTAGAATTTAAGTTGCTCCATATGACTAAATTAAACTGAGTGATATTACTGCTTTACTTCCATAGTTTTGGGATTTTAAAATCCCGGAGTCACATGCTTCAGTGTCAAGTTCCAAGACCGTGAAAAGAGAAAATAAAAGCAAGGGCTGTTTGCAGTGGTGTCCTGACCAAATCCCAAATTAGGTTAAGGCATTCTGAAACCTATATTAACCACTTCTTCAGTCTGTTCTAAACTAACGCTCCTATGCAATACTGAAAATCTGCTTCAGTTCAGAGGTGACTGCATTTCTATGGTAGGTAAAGTAATACCATAGACTTGCTAATTGTACCCTTTAAGATAATTTACTTCACCTCAATCTTTGGTGTATTCTAGGTGTTCCCCATAGTAAGTAAGGGAAAGTTTGGAGAATACCGAGGTAATCGTTTATAAAAGACAAAGCTGACAAATTTAAGGGGGACCACTGCCTCGGAATCACTTAATCCATCACTGAAGCATACCCACCTCTGAGGTAGAATGCTGCAGTTACTAACAGCACGTCATTCACCACATGCATCTTAAGAGCGGACCAAAAGAATTAGATACATTACAGGCTCGATTAATGTTTATGAAGTTCTCTGACACCTCCTGGATGAAAGGCAGAGTTGGCAGTGAGATTTCTCACCCAACAGAAAATCAATATCAATCCCATCTCTTATAGCATAAAGTCCTATAAACTTGTTTAGTTCTACAAATCTGTTTGAGGTCATAATGTGCAATATTGTTACCAGGAATGTTGGCCTGAAGCTTACATGAACTTTTGGCATTTTTTAATACTTCTGTAAGAACATTTCTTCATAGGGATCAAGGAGAGTAAATTTCCTCTCTCTATCTTTGGTAAGTAAGGAAAGTATTGTCCTCTTTAGGTGGTAATATTTGGAGAGATTTATCCATCACTTGTCTTTTAAATAAAAAACTCCACTATTAACACCCTCTACTGCACTGACATTAATGCAAGCTGTAGAGCTTGTTTTGGACCAGTAGTTAAGTATTTATGAGAGTGAGGTCTGCACTCATGGTTACTATTTCATAGAATCATAGAATATCAGGGTTGGAAGGGACCTCAGGAGGTCATCTAGTCCAACCCCCTGCTCAAAGCAGGACCAATCCCCAATTAAATCATCCCAGCCAGGGTTTTGTCAAGCCCGACCTTAAAAACTTCTAAGGAAGGAGATTCCACCACCTCCCTAGGTAACGCATTCCAGTGTTTCACCAACCTCCTAGTGAAAAAATTTTTCCTAATATCCAACCTAAACCTCCCCCACTGCAACTTGAGACCATTACTCCTTGTCCTGTCCTCTTCTACCACTGAGAATAGTCTAGAACCATCCTCTCTGGAACCACCTCTCAGGTAGTTGAAAGCAGCTATCAAATCCCCCCCCATTCTTCTCTTCTGCAGACTAAACAATCCCAGTTCCCTCAGCCTCTCCTCATAAGTCATGTGTTCCAGACCCCTAATTGTTTTTGTTGCCCTTCGCTGGACTCTCTCCAATTTATCCACATCCTTCTTGTAGTGTGGGGCCCAAAACTGGACACAGTACTCCAGATGAGGTCTCACCAATGTCGAATAGAGGGGGACGATCACATCCCTCGATCTGCTCGCTATGCCCCTACTTATACATCCCAAAATGCCATTGGCCTTCTTGGCAACAAGGGCACACTGCTGACTCATAGCCAGCTTCTCATCCACTGTCACCCCTAGGTCCTTTTCCGCAGAACTGCTGCCTAACCATTCGGTCCCTAGTCTGTAGCTGTGCATTGGGTTCATCCGTCCTAAGTGCAGCACCCTGCACTTATCCTTATTGAACCTCATCAGATTTCTTTTGGCCCAATCCTCCAATTTGTCTAGGTCCCTCTGTATCCTATCCCTGCCCTCCAGCGTATCTACCACTCCTCCTAGTTTAGGATCATCCGCAAATTTGCTGAGAGTGCAATCCACACCATCCTCCAGATCATTTATGAAGATATTGAACAAAACCGGCCCCAGGACCAATCCCGGGGCACTCCACTTGACACCGGCTGCCAACTAGACATGGAGCCATTGATCACTACCTGTTGAGCCTGACAATCTAGCCAACTTTCTACCCACCTTATAGTGCATTCATCCAGCCCATACTTCTTTAACTTGCTGACAAGAATACTGTGGGAGACAGTGTCAAAAGCTTTGCTAAAAGCTTTATACTGTGACAACACCCAATGGTTCCAAGCAGAACGGGAGCCCCATTGGTAGGCACTGTACAAACTCAAGAAAGAAAGTCTCTGCCCTGAAGAGTTCAGTCAAAACAAACAAGATCTACGCAGGGAGGGGAAATGGGCTATGCTGTGCAAGCACAGTGATTGGCTGGTAGGCATGCATCTTATTAATTCCGTGGGGGCATTTGTTTTTAATGTAAACTTTCATTGATTAGTCTTCCATGTAACCATAGTTAATCACTTAAAAAAAAAAAAGCCTCCCCAGCTGGTGGTTTCATTACCTTTCTGAGGACAACCATCCTATACCAACACGTAAGCTGGGCTGCTTCACTATTTGCCTTCTGCTTTCCTACTTTGGACTGACTAAAATATCACTGCAGCCAGTCAGAAGAACCCTTCAACAACTATGCTGATTACACAGTCCCTGGAGCTCATCTCACCAGCTGGAAGAGAAGGGAAGATTTCCCATCTGGCTGTTGAGCAAACACACAACTATTGTCTCCAATTACATTACTCTACCTACTTTAAAAAGTGGAGGTTGTTATTGCAACAGAGAGGGGAAGGGTGCTCGTCATCTTCATTTCAAAGGTGGGATATTACCTAATAAATGGTCACCTGAACATCAGTGGTGTCTCCCCTATAAGACTAGACTCATGAAGGCCTGGGTAACATTTGTTGTTTCCTTAGTGTATTTCCTTTACCTGATGATGTCACTGCCAGCAGTACCCAGTGTGATTCTGCACGCTCAGAGAGGCAAAGGAAGCACTGTGGCTGGAAAAAGGCAGGTAGCTCCAGGGGTCAGGTACTTTCTGCCTTTCAGTCATGTAGCCCCATGAATTCTTCCAATGTTGTAACTACCAGATAAATAAACTAAATGAACTTGAACAAAGTTTACCATACTATATCTATGTACACATGGGCTTACCAATCTGAGCAAAAAAAAAAAAAATTAAGAATAGAAGACTATGTTACTGGACCCCATATTATGTCATGCTAGAGTACAGCAACAAAGAAAAGGCAATGGCTGAAAAGGTGTTTCTGTGTGGGACAGCCTGCTCCCTCACTCGAGGCAGTAAAAATTGTCCACATGATTGAAGCGTGGATAATACCAGCAGTCTAGGTCTGTCCACCTTTTTCCAGCCTACATACTGCCTCCTGCAGAGTTCATAAAATCTCACTAGCAAGAGCTCCTCTCTATTCCTCTGAAAAGGCAAACAAAAATTTGGCATGACAGTTACATATCAGGATAAGGGGCTTAGAGATCTTTCCTGCAAATGTCAGTCTCATTCATCTGAGGGAAGTAATAAACCTCAGACTGATAGAAGCTGGGAGGGGAAGACAACAGTAGATTTCCCTAAAATTGCCCTCTTCTATACACTCCCCCCGAAGCTCTGGTACTCACCACTGGCAAGAGACAAGATATTGGGCTTGATGGACCATTGGTTGGACCCATTGGTTCTTATGCATATTCCTCTCTTTTGACACCTTTTTGTGTAAATTTTAAAGTCATTTCCTCTCTTGATAAAGATTTTGTAATTTGTTTTAAGGGGATATTTCAGTCTGTCCTCATTGTATTATCATTGTTTCACAT